ATAGCACTACTAGAACACAAAATAAAGGAGCGGAATGCCATAAAAATAATAAGGAGAATCTCTCCAAGATGGACTTGGTTAGCCAATTACGAATATAGTAATAGAGGAAGAAATTGGTTACTATGGGATACCAATGAGATAGAGTGCTTGGAATTGGGGAAGTCCTCCCAATACATTCACATTGCAGTCCACATAAAGAGTATGAGCATGGATTTTAATTCCATTGTAGTGTATGGCCTGCATACACTAGAAGATAGGAGATGCTTATGGAGTGACTTGAATGGTTGGAATAATGTACAGCATGGGCCATGGCTGATAATGGGAGACTACAATGCTATTAGATCAGGAGAGGATAGACCAATTGGAAACCTTGTATAAGAGGCTGAGATTAGGGACTTCAATGACTTCATTGAGCATAATGTTTTGACAGAAATCAGAACTACTGGAAGGAATTTCACATGGACAAATGGACACACATACAGCAGAATAGACAGAGCATTGGTGAATGCTGAATGGATGCTGCAAATGCCACATCTAGAAGTAAGGGTAATAGATCCGGGTTGTTCTGATCACTCTCCTCTATGTATTAGCTTTGAAGATACTGAGAATAAAGATCCAAGACCTTTTAAGTTTCTAAATCATTTAGCTGAGCATAAAGAGTTCTTGGCCAAAGTTAAAGAAGCATGGCAAAGGAATAGTGAGATGAATATAATGAAGGATGTATGGTGCAGACTGAAAAAGGTGAAACAAGCTATGAAAGACCTGAATAAAGTAGAGTATAATGCAGTAGGTGACAAGATTAAGCATTGCAGATAGCAGCTTAGTGAACTGCACGAACAAATGAGAGACCCTGGGCAATCTGAAGATATGATTATAGCAGAAAAAGACACAAAGGCACAACTTGAGAAATGGCTTGGGGTGGAAGAAAGTATCATAAAACAAAAAATCTAGAGTACATTGGCTGAAGTTAGGTGATGCTAACACAGCTTATTTTTTTGCAAGCATGAAGAGCAGATACTCCCAGAACAAAATTAAGAGTCTAATAAGGGCCAATGGGGAGATGGTGCAGACTAAACATGAGATTAAAGAGGAAATGCTTGGCTTCTACAAGCAGCTACTGGGATCATCAGCTGGAAACTTACCAGCTATTAATTAGTAGTGATGAGAGATGGAGCTTTGGTGAACAGACAACAACACCTTCAACTTCAACTGGTGAAAAATGTATCCAAAGAGGAAGTATATAAGGCACTGTTAGGTATCAATGACAACAAAGCACCTGGTTGTGATGGTTTCAATGCTCTATTTTTTAAGAAGGCTTGGTTCGTGATTGGAAACAATGTTACAGAGGTAGTGATGGAGTTCTTTACAAGTGCTAACCTCTATCAACCTATCAATTGCACAACAGTTACTCTTGTGCCAAAGGTGAAAAACCCATCCAGAATCACTAAATACAGGCCAATATCATGTTGCACCATCCTATACAAAATTATCTCTAAGGTGATAACAAACAGACTGCAGGAAATAATGGATGACATAGTTGACAGAAACCAATCTGCTTTTGTGCCTGGAAGGTTGATAAATGACAACATAATATTGAGCCATGAACTAGTTAAAGGTCATGGTAAGAAAGGTGTATCCCCAAGGTGCATGCTGAAAGTTGATATGAAGAAGGCTCCTGACTCTATTGAATGGGACTATATGGAGCAAGTTCTAACGAGTTTGCAAATGCCTGGAAGATTTGTTCAATAGATTATGAAATGTGTGAGAAGTGTCTCCTATTCCATCAACAATGGGCAACATACAACTCCATTACATGCAAAAAAAAGGATTGAGATAGGGTGACCCTCTATCTCCTTACCTGTTTGTATTGGCCATGGAATACTTGACTAGATTACTGAAGACACTAAAGATGAATCCAAACTTCAACTATCACCCTAAATGTGCTAAAATGAACATAGTACAACTTAGTTTTGCTGATGATCTTCTGCTCTTCTGTAGAGGTGATACTATATCTGTGTTGCTGTTTTATCAATGCTTTGAAGGTTTCTCTCAAGCTTCTGGTTTAGTTGCAAATGCTGACAAGAGTTCTATCTTCTGTGGGGGAGTCAAAGATGATATTCAACAGGAGATACTGCAAGTATTAGGCTTCTCTAAAGGAGCATTACCAGTGAGGTACCGGGGGTGCCTTTGAGTACCAAAAGGCTATCATTGGTACAATGTCAACCACTGATTGAGAAGAAGCTCGGGAGAATACAATCATGGACTGTCAGATTCCTGTCATATGCAGGAAGAATTCAACTGATTAAGAGTGTGCTATTCTCCATACAAGTGTTTTGGTCACAAGTATTTATGCTGCCTAAGAAACTGATCCAATTAATAGAGAGTATCTGCAGAAGGTTTCTATGGACTGGAGGGGTTGAGGTCACTAAAAAAGCACTATTGGCCTGGGATAGATTATGCTGGCCAAAAGCAGCAGGGGGATTGAATATACTGGACATAGGCACATGGAATAAAGCAGCCATTTGCAAACTGTTGTGGAACTTAAGCAAGAAGAAAGATAAAATGTGGATACAATGGGTCCATCTATACTATAAGAGATACACTACTTGGGGAGCTCAACCAAAGCAAGCATCGTGGGTGGTCAAAAAAAATACTAAAAGCAAAGAAACACTTTGAGGAAGCTGGGTTCTCAGAAGAAGAGGTGCTGCAAATGGAAAAATTCTCAATCAAGGCTATGTACTTGAAGCTTAAAGGGGACTTCACAAAGGTAACATGGAGGAGGATGACATGCAATAACACTTGGCTCCCTAAATGGACATTCACACTATTCCTGGCTGCTCACAGAAGATTATTAACAAGAGAAGGATTAGGAAGATGGGGTTGCCTGGAGGATACATCCTGCTCACTATGCAACAGAGAAGAAGAAACTATTGACCATTTATTCTTTAAATGCTCATTTTCAACACAAGTATGGGCAGCAATGCTAGACTGGCAGGGAATACAGAGGCATGTGATGACTTGGGGACACGAATTAGACTGGGCGGAAAGACATTACAAAGGAATGGCACTAGCTGGTAGTATATAATATATATGGCAAGAGAGGAATGCACGAATATTTCAAGCAAGACAGAGGAATGTGAAAGAATTACTCGACAACTAGTTCAAGAAATTCACTATCGAGGGAGCATGAAGAAGATTGAAGGGGAGGCTATTAAAATTAAACTACTACCCTACCGTTCATATGGATATGTAAATAGGTATAGTAGTTAGAAGGAACAAGAATGAGAAGTTAAGCTGAATCTGGGACTAATGTCCAGATCAGGCTAAAGTGAGAAATAGTGTGTAAATATTACTTGGTAAATAAAATTGTTTAGTTACCAAAAAAAATAGGCAGAATGGCCTAAATGACACATATACTTGTGCCACTTTGTCATGCCGGTCCCCCTACTTCACTTTTTTTTCATCCAGACACTTTAACTTGTTCAAAATTAATATTTTAAACCCCTGCGACTGTTGACCGAGCATATGTGGCAACTTGATGACTGAGTTGTACAAAATGTGTATACTTCACGCGTATAAGGAGCGTGAATGTAAGAATTTATATTAAAAACTGATTAATAAAAATGAAGAAGACAAAGAAATAAAAAACAAAAACATAGTAGTATGTTTCTTTCTAGTTTTCACCGAGACCCACTCTTTCCCCTGTTCTTTTTGTCTTTATCCCCTGCATTTCTCGTTCTTCCTCAGACCTAGTCCCAATTCTTTTTCTCTCCCTCCCCCCTCCCATTCTCGTTTTTCCCCATCCCTTGCCCCATTTCTTTTTCTTTTTCTTTGTTTCCCCTTCCTGTTCTTCCCCACCCCTGCTCCTTTTCTTCTTTTTTTCTTTTTAAATTTATAGATCTAATTTTTCTTTGTATGGTCTAGTTAATTATCTGTTTGCCATTATTTGTTTGCTTTGTGAATATTTGTTTTTAGTAAAAAATAGTGTAATTTAAGTGATAGAAACTTTTAATTTTTATTACTCTTGTATGGTTGTTGTTATATAGGGACCCTTTTCTGGAAAGCAAACTCTTAACAGGGGAAGGAACGAGATTTAAAGCTAGTGAAATCGTGAATGAGTGAAGGAATGTAGATAGGGTGAAAATGGCGAGAAGAATAACGGAATTGGGTTGCTACTATGGTTGGCCAACTGTATTTTAGAGAGAAAAGAACATGGTGGAGATAAGGTATTCAGGTAGAGGTGGGATAAGGGTTCTTATGGAGGAATTGAGAATGGGAGAGTACTGTTCATGGTGTTATCTGGTGGCTAGATTCAGACAGTACAATAAGGAGAGGATGATGGTGGATAAGAAAGAAAAATAAAGAAAAGGTTTAACAAAAAGAGGGAGGAAAGATAAAAAGTTTTTTTTTTCATGTAATTTTTTTTAAAAATGCTGAAGTGGCATATCTTTATCTGACGTTGACTCTAGCACCATGCAATTGAGAGACACGCAGCGTCAGAATGGTTTAAAATATTGAGTTTGAATAAGTGCAAGTGCCTGGATGAAATTTTATTAATTATAGTGACCGGGATGACTAATGAGAACAAGTACAAGTATCTATTAGGCTATTCATGCAATAGATATTTTGTGTCTATAACATTATATCATTACGGGAAAACAAAAATATTAAAACTAAATTATTTTCAACTTGAAAAAATATGAATTCTTTTGCATAGATTAGAAAAGAAAATAAATTATATAAAAGTGAGACGGAAAGAATAATAATAAAGTAATTCAACATCCACGACCTTCCAAATTAACTCACGATATTGATGTTTCTTGTTTGATCCTCTACTTCTTAATAATTTTTTTATCTCTACCAAATTATTCTTCTTTTGCGAAAGCAATTGTTGATTAAATAATTCTGAATTATTCGTTCATCATTCCACTTTTCAAGATATATATATATTTTTCAAATAAATAAATTAATTAAGTGTAGTGAACGATGAGTAAATTAGGAGGGTGGGGTAAAAGAAGTTTTTGAGTATTTACTTTGGGGTCATTATTGTTTCACTAAACCCTAGAAAAGCCACACGAATTCCAACCTTTGTAACCCAGAACCTTGATGTTATAAATTCCCCACATTTCCCAATAACCCCAAATCCTCAAAGTACCAACGTACCAACCGTTTTAGTAGTATTTATTATTGGAAGAAGAAGAAGCCTATAATTTTTCTCTAAGGTAAAATATCAAACAACTAATGAGCAGGATTTTGTTTTGCTTATCTGATTATTTTATTTAATTCATGTTGGGTCTATGTGTTTGTCTATAATTTGATGCTTTTGCGTGAAGTTTGGGACACCCAATGACTTTTTTAACGACTTTGATGTAATGGGTTTGGAAATTTATCTAATGGGTTTATTGGACTTCTCTTTGTTTTTACTTTGTCTTTTCTAAATTTTGATTGTTATTTGGTGTGAACGCAGGAAAAAAATTGGCCTTTTGATTGTGATTCCTTGGAGGACACACATAACATTGTGGCTTTCAAATTGGAAAAAGGGGGCTGATTTTTGCAATTTTTTTATCTCTGGAAAATTTTGGGTGGCTGCAAATAATTACAAAGGTGTTGGCTTTGGTGGATTACAGGGTTGCAAAGGAATTGAGTTTCTAGAAATGTGAGGTTTATGTTTCTGCTTATCTTAGTTTTGACTTGTCAAGGTTAAGGTTGACACAAGGAGTTCTGGGTATTTGGTTTTGGGGTTAATAGTTTCTGGAATGTCTGAGAATATTTGATTTTTTTTCTCTTTTGTTAATCATTCATCGAAGTTTCTTTTAGTTGACAATAGAAAGAAAGATATTTGGGAATATTGAATTCTTGTCACCTGGAAACTCAGAGATATATAAGATTATAATCTGCATCCACAATTGAGCAAGTTGTCTGTGTATGGGTTTCTGGAAACAGGCACATGCTTGTAAATTTGTGGAAATGTGAAATTGCAACAAGTTTGTGTGATCAGGAGAGAGTTGCTTCAACTTGATTGTATTGCAGGTTATCAAGCTCATAACGATCCTTTACTGGTTGTTTGTGTGTTCTGGAGCCTGATAATAAGAATTTCTGCTCTCATTAGATGCTCTGCTTCGGCGATTTAGTTTAGGGGTTGTGATTTTCGTTTTGTTTAAACCTATCATGGATGAAGCTACGTGCAGCACGAATGCGCTGCCTCCTTTTCTTACAAAGACATATGAAATGGTGGATGATCCATCCTCTGATGCCATCGTTTCCTGGAGTTCGAGTAATAAAAGCTTCATTGTGTGGAATCCTCCAGATTTTGCAAGGGATTTGTTGCCTAGATACTTCAAGCACAATAACTTTTCCAGCTTCATCAGACAGCTAAACACTTATGTAAGTGTGTCGGTTCCACTCACACTTTTGTGTTTCTCATTTTTATCTTCTTTGTTGGTATTCACATGCCTTTGGCCTCTCTTGTGCACCAGGGATTCAGGAAAGTTGACCCTGAAAAATGGGAATTCGCTAATGAAGATAATTTTGTTAGAGGTCAGCCACACCTTTTGAAGAATATCCATAGACGTAAACCAGTTCATAGTCATTCTGCACAGAATCTTCATGGTCTGTCGTCTCCATTAACTGAATCTGAAAGACAAGGGTATAAGGAAGATATTCAAAAGCTGAAGCATGAGAATGAGTCACTTCACTTGGACCTACAAAGACATCAGCAGGATCGCCAAGGACTTGAATTGCAAATGCAGGTTTTCACTGAACGTGTTCAACACGTGGAACATCGTCAAAAGACCATGCTCTCTGCTTTAGCTCGAATGTTAGATAAACCAGTAACAGATTTGAGTTGCATGCCACAACTTCAAGTGAATGACAGAAAAAGAAGGTTGCCAGGAAACAGCTGCCTTTTTAACGAAACTGACCTGGAAGATACTCGAGCGATTTCATCAAGGGCTTTGACTTGGGAAAACATGAATCCATCCTCTCTTCTTACAATCAACGCAGAACTGTTAGATCAGTTGGACTCTTCTTTGACCTTTTGGGAGAATGTGCTACAAGATGTTGATCAAGCTCGGATACAGCAGAATTGTTCATTAGAGTTGGATGAATCTACAAGTTGTGCAGATAGCCCTGCTATATCTTACACACAACTAAATGTTGATGTTGGGCCTAAGGCTTCTGATATTGACATGAATTCTGAGCCTAATGCAAACACTAATCCTGAGGTTGCGGCACCAGAAGACCAAGCAGCAGTGGCAGGTACAACTACCAATGTCCCAACAGGGGTAAATGATGTATTTTGGGAACAATTCCTAACTGAGAATCCTGGTTCAGTTGATGCGTCTGAAGTACAGTCGGAAAGGAAAGATATTGGCAACAAAAAGAATGAAAGTAAACCAGTAGACGGTGGAAAATTTTGGTGGAACATGAAGAGTGTAAATAGCTTGGCAGAACAGTTGGGACATCTTACTCCAGCAGAGAAAACTTAATTTGGTAGGTTATATGATAAATGTTTTATTCATGGTGTTGGCCTTCTGGCTTGTTGTATATCTAGAGTATAAGCTGCTTTATCAGGGGTAGATAAACGTGTTGATATATAAGTTGTTTTTGTACTTGCTGTGCATTGCATAATATGAGGGAAATATGGAACTTCTGAAAATTCTCTAGCACGACTTCCTTGTTTTATGTTGCTTATGTTCTTATTAGCCTTGTTCATTGTACTTCCTTTTGGATATAGTAATTTCTCTTTGTATTATTTGTTGTAAATCCCCACATGTTTGCTGAGTCTCTTGGACTTCACTGATTTTTAGTGGTTATCTTGTATGATGCAAAGTTTCTTGTTTTCTCGCCAAGTCAAAGTTTACTTATATATTAAGCTACTCTGGAAGTTTTGAATCCAAACAATTTATTCTCTAACTTCCTATGCTTCTGAATGCATAAGCACTCCAAACCACAACAATTACTAAATGCAGGGTCCTGTTTTGCCATTTTCATGTTAAATGTATACTCCTAAGTTATAATTCTGTTTAGAGATGTAAAAGAATTTTGTTTTTGTTGGCAAAGTCACCTGGTTATACAATTATGAAGCTGCTTCTCAAAGGCACTAGCAGTTTCTCCTGGAAACAGGAAAAATGTGATGCTGTTTGGAAAAGACAAATTGCTATATTAGATACATAAACCAGGGTGTTCTGAGATTCGGCTTTGAACTGTGATGGGCTATGGTGTGTGGAAAATACACACTCCTATGACCAGCCTTATTGAACATTAAGGCCATTACAGTTTCTCGCTTATATGTATTTGTTACAGTGTTAGCATATTTGACATATTAGAAACTTTTTTAGACCTAAAGTAGCCTATAAATTAATGAGATCCGTAGGTGTAGAGGGGTACGGAAGGATGGAAAGAGTGCAAATCGTGATCTTCAAAGTTCTTTTGGTGACTAATGTGCTGGATATATAAGCTTTTATGGTAATAGGTGCACATGGTTATATGAAGTTGTGGAAAGTATATCGAGGCATTCAGCTTTTTGCAGATGAAGCTGCATGAGCTAAACTCGAAGATGCTAAGGCATCAAACTTATTTTACGCGGAATTTTTGTTATGGGTGATGTTAGTATGCTTAACCATGATTTCTATTTCTAAGACAATTTTGTGTGATTAACTCTTGTTTTAGCTCAGGGAGATTTCCAATCTGTTGGATCTGTATAGAGTCTTTGCTCCAACAATAGTGTGATGAGCTAAATGTAGAGTTGGGAATGTAATAGAGATTTTTAGATGGTAATTTCTGTCTTCTAAAGCTGAAAATATTTTATCATTTCTGCTATACTCTGGAGAAGACTGGACTTCATCTCCTGAAAAGTGGTCAAGCCTCCAAGGGATTTTTTTCTCATTTTAATAAATATTGAATCTATTGCATCCTCTGCTTTCCTTTGACCCTGACATTTGAAAGTTGTGGTTCTTTGCTGAAGGCATCGACAAGTAATTAAGTAAAAGTGATTTGCAGATGTTTTCTCTTTGATATGTAGTTAAAGGTCGTCTAGTTTTGTTTCAACTAGATTGAACACTTCTATCAAGAGGCCTCCTGTTGTCCCCAAAATTGCAGTTTTTTATAATATGCATCAGAAATTCTACTTTTAATGCTGTGGTATTGATTTGAAACTTGTTATTGAGATTAAATGTAGTAGGATTCTTTGTTCTTACCAGGTTGATTTTCTCACAATCATCTTTTAAAAGGAAAAAAAGAAATTGCTATGTTAATGGATTGACTTTATGTATTTCATTTTTTCCAGGTTCCTCCTCATTTACTTGAAATTTTGGTGTCTGATTTTGGTTGTGTGATTTATCACTAGATCTTGCTACCTAGTTATGTGATTTCTTCATTTTTGTCTAGACTTTTGTTGCATACAGTATTTAGCAGCACAAGTTTCTTATGCTCCAACAATGCAAATATCTGGGATCCTTTTGGTGCTAAAGGCAGCCTGATATATGTAGTAGTAACTTGGGGACCCAGTATTTTGTCACTTTTTTCATAGTGGAGCAGTTTGTGCACCAAAATAGTTGAGAAAAGCACAGTTTAAGACCAAGTAGTGGGGCTCCTTCTAGAGACTGCTCTTTGTTTCGGATCACTGTCTGCCGGTTAAAAGGGGAGTAAGCATTTGTGGTCAAAGATTTAGATGCCTTGTGGCTGTAGAGTAACATTAAGGCTAAATTTTACTTCTGAATTTGTGCAACACAATCTGGGTTTTATTAGGCCGGAAAGCAATTTTGGGGGCAAGTGCACATATAGTTATTCTTACAGATGCTATTTAGAGATTAGGCAGTACTTATTTTGTCCTGAAAATCCTAACTTCAAGACAATTCAGGATATTTTTGTCCTGAAAATTTGAACTAGAAAACTGAAATTCAGAATGCATTGGCTAATTCTTAAAAAGCAAACCTTTAAAGTGGCTACCTGGTGTCATTTCTACGCAATTTTGGGAGGGGGAGATTGCATAGTTAGGTGGGTATCTTTTTCATCAGAAATAGTTGGGGTTTTGGAAAAGCAGGATTCAAACACGAAATCCTTTTAAATATTTTCCGTCATACCATGGCTAAATGGAATTGGGTGCATCGACATTGACTTCAGTAGTTAAAGGCCACCTGACCGTCAATTGGTTTTGTGACTCTTTACAATTTTTTTTTTAGTTTTATGATCCTACCTCTTTTTGGGAGATTTATTTTTACACATAAGAAATTTGTTTTTTACGCATAAAAAATCTAAAAAGATAATTTCTTAATTTTAAAATTATAAAAGGGCATTGAACAGATAGCGCCTAATTTTGCAATTTCAACCCATATGAGAGTTCTAATTTCAGATTTTCAATGTCTCTCATTCCTAAATTTGCTGGACCAGTGATCATTTCAATACATGTACATCTTCAACCAAAAAATATTCAAATGCAATTTTAACAGCTTTAACGTCTAAGAGTTCTACATACTCCTTTGTTAATTTATGATAACATATCGTTTTAATGAAAGAAATTTAAACAATTATCCAAGTCATCACTTTAAATAATCTATGGATTGTTTTCGGTTTATGAGGAAGAATATTTGCTTGAACAATGCGATGTTTGATTAAGAAAAAATACTTATAACTAGAGCTTAGACAAGTTAAAAGTATAAAACGTAAAATATGATTAGTCAGTCTCTCTTGGATTGTAGGCAAAACAAAATATCAAACACATGCTCGTCGTACTAATTACCAAAATTGGAAACACAATGTCAATGGCAGCAACTTTCTCTCCAGAACCAATCTTTTCCTTCATAGAAATGGCCAATACCATTTCCGAACTCCACCAATCTCACGCTTTCCTGCTCAAATCCGGCCTCTTTCGTAACCCTTTTGCCGCTAGCCGCCTCTTAACCAAAGCCACTACACTTCCCACTTCTTCCTCCGTCGACACCCTTTCATATGCTCTTTCCATTTTCACTCACATCGAAGAACCTAACTCATATACCTACAACACTATCATCCGTGCTTATTCCACTAGCTCTTTTCCGCAACTCTCGCTCATAATCTTCCTCAAAATGTTAAATGCTGTACATAAAGTTTTCCCTGATAAGTACACTTTTACATTCATTGTAAAAGCTTGTGCTACTATAGGAAATGCTAAACAAGGTGAACAAGTTCATGGTTTAGTGACAAAAATTGGACTTGAGGAAGATGTGTATGTGTATAACACTTTAATTCATATGTATGCGAAATGTGGGTGTTTTGGAGTTTCGCGTGGTATGATTGATGGGTTGGTTGAAGATGACGTTATAGCATGGAACGGGTTGTTGAGTGTGTTTGCTGAAAGGGGGTTGTTTGAGTTGGCAAGAGAGTTGTTTGATGAAATGCCTGTGAAGAATGTTGAATCTTGGAACTTTATGGTTTCTGGTTATGTGAATGTTGGGCTGGTGGATGAAGCAAGGAAAGTGTTTGATGAAATGTTGGTGAAAGATGTTGTTTCGTGGAATGTTATGATTACTGGGTATACTAAGGCTGATAGGTTTGCTGAAGTTTTGGCTCTTTTTGAGGATATGCTGAGAGCTAAAGTGAAGCCTGATAATTGTACACTTGTGAATGTGCTGTCTGCTTGTGCTGGTGTTGGATCTCTGAGCCAGGGAAAGTGGATTCATGCTTATATCGAGAGGAACGGGATCGAGGTTCACGATTTCCTTGCTACTGCTCTTGTAGATATGTATTGCAAATGTGGATGTATTGAGAAAGCTCTGGAGGTGTTTATTGGTACTTCGAGAAAAGATATTAGTACTTGGAATGCAATGATTGCAGGGTTAAGCAACCATGGGTATTTGGATGATGCATTAAAGACTTTTGATGAACTCATTGCTGATGGTATTAAGCCCAATGAGGTCACTTTTGTAAGCGTTTTGTCTACTTGCAGTCAAGGGGGCTTATTAAGCGAGGGGCGCAGGATTTTCGATCTCATGATTAGTGAATATAGAATTCAGCCTACGCTCGTGCATTATGGTTGCATGGTTGATTTACTTGGCCGGTTTGGATTATTAGAGGAGGCTGAAGAACTCTTAAGCAGATTGCCAGTGAAAGAAGCTCCTGCAATTTGGGAGTCCCTGTTGAGTGCTTCCAGAAGCCACAATGATGTTGAATTGGCAGAGCGCATCGCTACCAAACTTTTAGAGCTTGATCCCCACGACAGTGCTGGTTATGTTCAACTATCAAATGTCCTTGCATCTATGGGGAGATGGGATGATGTTAGGGAAGTGCGGAGGAAGATGAGAAGTGAGGGAGTGACTAAAGAGCCCGGTTGTAGCATGATTGAAGTGGATGGAGTTGTTCACGAGTTCTTGGCTGGTGAAGGGATAATACTGTAACATGGACAAAAGACTTCTTGTGTAAGGCCATCAATCTGAAATAGTACTAATAGCTCTATAAGCGCTGCATCCAGTCTTCAGAGGATGCTGAATTTTCCATTTGTCGTGCGTGCTTGCTACTACTGTGGTACTAAAATTTTGCTGACCTGCTTCTACTACAGCCTTCAAGCGATTTCTTTAATACTCTCTCTTACTTTTCAGGCTGCTAGATGGGAATTATAGTATGTAGACGTGAGCGGTACCTTAAGAACCACTGATTATGCAAACTGTTGAAAAGGATAGAGTTTATCTTCTTTATACAGACCAAAACATTTGCTTATATTGGTAGAAATAGCTCTCCAGTGCAACAGAAGCAAACAGTTTGTTGTAAATTATATAGCAAGCAGCTACCCTGAACTTGTGTCAGAAGAAGCAATCAAAAACATAAATATAACATATCTCGAAAATAAAGTTTATCATTCCTTCCCAAGATTTTCTCTCGTTCATAATGTATAAGTATTTCTTATCATTTGGATGTTTTTTTTTTGGTATAAATTTCTTATCCATCAGTTAATGCATTGGCATCCAGATGCAGATGGAAATTCTGGCTGCCAGATTCTAGTCGCAATTAACTCCTTGTTAATTCCATAGTAAAAGGAGCTAATTCATCTTGATGAACGATGAACTGTTGTGTTCATTGCCCTGGCAAATGTATAAACCATCAAGCTTGATTGCTCTTTGGAAATTTCAGAATGCAAAGCCTGTTTTCAATAGTTTTTCCCCATTTTAGTATAAAAGACATAGTAATAATTTAAAACAATAAACATACTCCTAAGAGAGGATAGTACCTATAACTTATTTACATTTGCATGAAGTTAAGCAATTCCCAAGTCATCAGAACAACAGCAATTCTGCAATCCTGCTCCAATATTGACCTGGTTCAGCTCAAACCATACCTGCCGAAAGACCTTGATAATGAGAACATGGTATTCATCGCAGTTCAGTGTCAGATAACAAGCCAATAACTCTTCAAGCTCCTCTGAGTTTTTTATCCCTCTCTGTGTTATCATCTCAATCATCGACTCTCTGAAGTCCCTAAAAGGGTCAAATGAACTCTTTACAACAGCATAGCTATCGAAAACTGTCCTGTCTCCTCCCGATCTCTCCTTTGTCTCTTGTCTCATCTTCATCTTTGCTTTCTTCATGTCTTCAAGAGCTTTGATTCTGCATTCTATCTTGGCTGTTGTTCTTGGTGAATATGCTCTGAGTTTAACACCATGTTTTCGTCTTCTCTTCTGGTTTATGTACACTGATTTTCTCTGCTGATATTCGCTTTTCTCTGACATTTGTTTGATCTTCATGTCTTTCATCTCTAGGCATTCTGATTCAAATTCTTCTTCAGACAATTCATCAGCTTCTTCCTCCAGATTCAGAGATTCAAACATGTAAGTTTCCTCGACTGTATTCTGCCTGGAATCAGTCACGCTCTTCGTCTTTCTTGTACAATAGGCTGTTGATTTCTCCTTCCTCTTTTGCATTACCTTCTCATTCTCGGGCTCTATTTCGAATATATCTTTCTCTATCACCTCTGTTGCTCTTTCTTCTTCTTCTTCTTGATCAGGTTCTCTAGCATTTTCTGCTATTCTCTCCTCCAGAGCTTTTCTACTCAGTTTCCTCAACTTCTCATCTCTAACAGAATTCCTCTTTCTGTTGCTGAATTCTGCTTCTTTCTGTGAAATCCACATTTTCTTGGGCTTTTCCGTTATCTTTCTTGAAACCATATAATTGAACTTGTGATCCTCTTCTCCCAAAAGAATCTTGGAATTCCAAGCCGAAAATTGATCACATTCATCATAAGAACCATTCCAGAGTGGGTTCTGAATCTGCTGATTCTGATGATAAGCTTCAAATCTATCTTCAGTAAAAGAAAGCCTCCAATAAGGATCATCATCATCATATCCACCATAGAATCTGCCTTCTTTCAGGCTAACATTCGTCGTCGGCGAAGTCAAAGAAGTCAAATTCACCTTGCCCTTTTGCTTCATTTTTGCTGCTTCTTGATTCTCAGTCTTGCCATTCTTCTTTTGTTTGAATTTTGAGAGCCAAGAAACAGGGAAAACATGATTGATCAATGAAGATGAAGGCTTCTTCTTTCCCCACTTCATCTTTCACTATGAAAAAGAAGCAGCAGAAAATGGAAGTTTTGCTAAATTTTTTGTGAATGGTCTTTCTTGGAGTTAGCAGAGGGAAAAAGAAGTGCAATAGAAGCAGTTAAGGGGGACAGTTAGGCTGTTAAATAGAGACGTGGGATTCATGTTGGAGGAAGGTGTGCACTTTTTTAGGTTGTGTGTGTTGCTTTTAGAAATTGTATTTGCACTATTTAGTTCAAAAGAAAGGCCCGCCATTTGGAAATCTTGTGACCACTTACCCACTTCTTCCTACTTTCTAGTAAGTATTTGTACCTAGAAGCTTTTGCAGAATTGCTGTTCTATCTTCAAGGAACCAAATTCACTTGGTCTCCTACCTAAAGTCATTACCCTCAAGTCCTTTTTACTTTTTTGTCTTTTATTTTCTTCCACATATATATATCGATAGGTTACCAAATTATTCTTACTATAAATAGTTACATGTTGGTGTGGATCATTTAACTCTTGGTGCTATTTGGTATGAGAATGCTATACATTGTGAAGTTAAACCATATATTTATAGCCAGCAAAGCATATCGCCAAATAGGATTGTTGGGAGCTTTTCACACAATAAGTGTGAATTCGATTTCCATTATTCCTATGTAGTAGATTTTTTTTTTTGTTTTTTTGTTTTTTACAAAAAGTAATGGAATTCACAAGGACTGGCGAAAATGCTGGAAGTTAGTAATATTTCCAGTTTGTTATAATTGTGTTTAGATTCATCATATTATGATTAAAAAAAAGGACCGTATCACAAATTAATAATATAAAATAGTTTCAACTTTTTTTTTTGTTTGGAAAATCACGTATCCATATTTTATGGTGAAGAATTCTGTAATAGTGGTTGAGTCATGAGAAACTCTTTTGTTATGCAAAAGATCGGTGTTTTCAAATAGTGAGGCTTATGACTTCACATTAGTTCATCAAATGTTTCTTATTCTTGTCCGCGAGTTATTGAAATCAGTCTTTTTCTTTTTCAAGATTAACTGATTAAGGAATCAGAGGAGCATTTAAACGACAGAATTTAATATCTAAATTGAATAAGAGGAGGTTCGTTCTGAAGTTGTCGAGAAGATTATTAGACGTTCATAACTTTGAATAATTAGCCAACTCCCTAGGATTTTATCATCTCAACCCTAAGGACAAAAGGTAGTTTATTTTTTATGGATATCAGCATCACGAGCATCCCAAAATTGCAGGTGATATTGGTAAAAGCTTTAGTTTGATGAAGGACGCATACTAGGGCCCGAAATTTTACACTTTAGTTCTACCTTAAACATGATTTAGCTTTGTCTTTTGTTTTGTAGATTAGGTTCCTTCTTTTGCTTTTAGCTTTGTCTTTAGTAAATTGACCTTAACTTTGGCTAATAATGATATGCTCATTACCGATTTTTACACAGTTTGATTGAGACTCGCATTTCAATCAGCAAATTATGGGCCTACGTTGCTTTGTCTTTAGAGAATTGACATAGGCTCAATATGACATCCAATATGTAGAAATTGGGGATTTTTACCTAGCTATACTATAATAGAAACCTATTTACTATCTTTATTTAGGTTCTATGTTAATTACTTTATATACCTATATTTACTACTTTTATACAAAATCATAAAAAGGAGGAAATGAAACATACTTTAAATATAGCGCATCAGTTACACATAAACCCCCTACATTTAAGATTCTTCTATTTTCTTTAACAATTACCCATATTTGTACTTAACCACCGTGAGAATTCTCCCGCTGATATCTGATTTCTCTCTTGTTTTGAATCTTGTTATCTTATTTTCTAAACTTGTATGTCACTTGTATATGATACATCAATACCCAAAACAATACTTGAAACAATACTAATACAATTATAGTACGATTATATTAGATTTTTAGTGTAGAGTTGTGATTGAAACTTGAAGAAGATGAAGATCATAATTGTATCACAATTTTTCGGAAATGTATCACGATTGTATTATAATTGTATATGTATCATAATTGTTGAAGGGATAGTATTATAAATGTATGATAATTGTATATTCATTGTATATCCATTGTATATTGTTACGAACAGTTGTGAATTCGTGAAGAATATCATAATTTGTATCACAAATATATATAATTATATATTAATTTATTAGTATTGTACCGGGTATTATTTTGGATATTAATGTACCATATACAAGTTAGACACAACTGTGATACAAATATGATACAATTATGTTTTAGGCATTGATGTATTTGATATAATTCAAATACAATTATGATAAAATTATCATACAATTCCTGAATATTTCTTCATTTTCATTGTTGTCCAATCTCCCAGCAAAAGAACGATACAATTGATGATTTTTAATAATATAAAGCTGTCGGCAATGGTGGGAAGAGAAAAGATGGAGATTCTGGCGTAAATTAAGGAATTTTGATGTGAAAAAGGAAGAAGAGAGAAGAGGAGATGGGAAAAAAGAGAGAAGGAAATGATGTAATTGAATGCACTAATAATGGGGCGTGAGATTTTTAAGGAGCAATCTACATAATTTGTAAGAAAAACCTAGATACTTATTAAAAACTAGAAAACATAGAGAAGATAGGTAATTAAGTTTCTAATATAGTATAATTAGGTAAAAATCCCTAGAAATTGCCTTTCTTCTTGGCCCAAAACTCAAGGTTCCTAAATGTCCAAGATCTAAAAGGGCATTAGGATTAATCCTTTACACAAAGACATAAGAAGGGGGCCTTGGAATTATGTGACTTTTCGGTCATGGGATCGTAGAATCAGAATGATAAATTTTTAGGTGGGTTCGAGTCCAAGAATCATCCATTGATGCAAACATTGAGATAAATTATTTAAATCACACTTCTTTGTGGTACGACTCTTCCCAGGACTCTACATGAATGCGGAAAACTTCAGTGCACTGGGGTATCTTCTTTTACTACAAAGGACATAATTCTTTTCATCCTCCCCCTTCCTCAACTTTGTTTTTCTTTTGAAGAAAACAAAGTTCTACATACCAGAAGAATGCGATTGCTATATTCTTTTTTTCTGAATTTTTTAATTTTTTTTGGTAAATAAGAATTTTATTACCAAGTAGCAATATTTACAACTCATCTAAACTATTACAAAATTTGCCTAGAATATCACCTACTGGACATGCAGCCCCAGTAAGATGATATCTAGCATTCACTTCTTTTATAACTCCATCAACTTCCACTATTGTGTTCTATTCTAACTAATTTCCGGATACCAGTTCAAAGTAGTCATCACCTTATCTAGATAAGGGAACCTTGCTGCCCTTATGTGCACTTCCCGGATAATATGATTGATTAAAGAGGTGGCTGTCATTCTCTTCTTCTGAAAAATCACAAAATTCCTCTCCTGCCAACAATGATACACTGCTGCTGCTAGTGTCATTCTACATATAGCTGCTCTTGCATTCTTGCCTTTAGTCACCTTTACCATCCATGTAATCTCTTCTTGCCAGTTGTGGTGTGATCTTTGAATCCCTTGCCATCTCAGCAGACCATTCCATATCTTCCCTGTAATCTCACACTTGAAGAATATATGCTGCATTGTCTCATTTTCCTTATTACACAGAGAGCATGTTTGATCTATATCTACCCCCCATCTTGCCAGCCTATCTTTGGTAGCTAGCCACTGTTGTGTTGCTAGTCTCAATATGAATATCCACTTTGGCTGTCCTTGATTATTGCACACTAGTTTCCTCCATGTTACTTTTTGAAATACACCTTGTAATGATCTGTATAGTCCCCTGATTGAGCATTTCTCCATTTGCTGGACATCATCTTCATTCATTCCAGCCTTTGTAAAATACTCCTTAGCCTGAAATATCTTCTGAATTTCCCAGGAAGCATACTTTGTTCTATACTCCACACTGCATGGCCTTTGACATAGTAAGTGTGTACCCAGTGCACCCATAGCTTCTCCTTCCTAGTACATATATTCCATAGCAATTTGCAAATAACAACTTCATTCTGTAGTGCCACATCTATAAAGTTCAATCCCCCTGCAACCTTAGGTGTACAAAGTCTTTCCCAAGCTATCAAGGCCTTCTTAGTTGGTTCAGCATCTCCTGTCCACAGAAACCTTCTACAGATGGTCTCTATGAACTGTATAACTTTCTTAGGCAGTATAAAGATATGTGCCCAAAATGTTTGTATAGCAAACAGTACACTCTTCACTAGGACTGCTCTACCTGCATATGACAAATACTTTGTTGTCCAGTTCTGAATTTTGTGCAATATTTTCTCAATTAGTGGCTCACATTGTATAGCAGATAGTCTCTTAGTACTCAATGGAACCCCTAGATATCTGAAAGGCAATTCTCCCTTTTTATAACCAAGAATCTCCATAATTTGTTGCTGAGTCGACTGATTCACCCCTCCAAATTAGATGCAACTCTTATTTGGATTAGCAACCAGTCCTGAGGCTGCAGAGAATTTCTGGAAATGCTGATGCAGTATCTTCACAGATTGCACATCACCTCTACAAAACAATAATAAATCATTTGCAAACCCCAGTTGCACTAAGTTAAACCTGGCACACCTGGGATGATATTTAATCTTCTTGTCTTCCTTCAGAGTCTTCAATGACCTGCTCAGGTATTCCATAGCCAAAACAAATAAGAAAGGTGAAAGTGGATCACCCTGCCTGAGCCCCTTCTTTGCCTCAAAAGGACCTGTTGGTCTACCATTTATTAGAACTGAATAAGTCACTGTACTGATGCAAGCCATTATCCATCTCACAAAGATTTCTGAAAAATTCAGTGATTTTAACACTTGTTCTATGTACATCCACTCCACAAAATCATATGCTTTTTGCATGTCAATTTTAAGCATACATCTAGGGGAGATACTCTTCCTTCCATAACCTTTCACTAGTTCATGACTCATCAAAATGTTATCTGTCATCAGCCTTCCAGGTACAAAAGCAATCACTTTAGAGATGAGCTTATATAGAACTGTACAGCAAGAAATAGGTCTAAAGTCTCTTATGTTTGTTGAATTTTGGATTTTTGGAATCGGTGTGATTGTTGTGCAATTAATGGCTTTACACATATCTGCGCTCTCAAAGAAATCTTGAACTGCTGCAGTTATTTCCTCTCCCACAATGTGCCATGTCTTCTTAAACAATTAATGAATTTTTTAATTGTTTGCTCTTTTCGTTCTAGTATGTCACTTTTCGCTTCCTAAAGATGGAAGAAAGACTTTTGCTATATTTTCCGATGTCAAAATTTATGATTTAATTAACTTTTTATGTAGTTGGCCCAAGTGAAGTTTGTTTTGAAAATTGACAAAAGAACTCAAGCATGAACCAGGTTCATCCACGGTGTACACAGCCACAGGCAGATTCAATCACAATGGATGCACGTGAGGGAGATAAGCTTAAGTGGTTATATCTAATATCTCTTGATCGAAAAGGTTGCATAATTGACAAGGAGAAGGACTTCTTACTCGAAGCGAACACTGTCCAAGATAAGGGAGGAGTTAGAAGTTG